ACTTTGTAGAAAGCCGACTTCTCATTCTTCTTATGGATTGGGGAATACCGTTGTATCCAAGGGGATGACCAGAAAATAAGTGACAAGAAAAGTGTTATCGACTGCCTCATAGAAGAGGAAAAAGAGTTGAAAAAGAAGAAGAGACAAATGGCAACTCAAATTGAAGACTTGCAAAGTTCAGTTTGCAAGCATGGAAAAGGAGAGAAATGTGAATACATTTGTCTGATTATCTCTTGAGTGGTGTTTGTTGTTGTGTTGTATGGGAATTCAAAGTGATCGATGAGTTTGGTAAACAAAATGGGACATGTACGGGGTGGGTGATGGGGCAGGCAATACAAAAATAGCAAACCAACCATTTAGATGGAAAATACAGAAGAGTAAGTTTCGGTGTATTACCAAGAATAGTCCACACAAGTTTATTGAGTTTTAGACTTTTAGTATGCATTTTAATATTTAACCCCTTACTCTTTAAGCTGTAACAACTATTCCACATTTAAACTTCACGAATTTTTGAATTAAAGGCATGATAGCGTGAAGCATGTGATGACATTGCAATGTGAGGGAATACGATTGGCTTAAATATTAGGGGATAAATAAAGAGAACATGGTTTTTACCTAACTCTTTCTTAATAAAACTTGGAAAAAATTAAAGAACAATAGATATAATCAGTCAAGGATAGTTAATGTGTCTCAATTAACTTTTTAGCTTCTTTTTTCCCGATTCTTAGACAAATCAGACGACACTAATTTTTTAAATTTATTTTCACTTCAAACTATTGTTTTTTCCACTATAAATGTTTCTTCTTGAAATTAATTTCTCTCAAATAAACACAAGTTGCAAGCTAAAGATTATAAACACTGGTTGTTAGCTAAATTTTCTAAACAAGGATGCTTTTTACGGTCATGCTTTGTACTCTAAAAACACTCCTTTGAAATAACTTATCATTGAATTACTTAAACTAACAAAAAGACATTTTTTTAATTTGCCTTATTCGGTTTAGAGTCTCTATAACTCTGTTGCTAACTTAGTTTTGTATGGAGGTATATGGAGGAAAGCTTTTAATTTCTTCATTAAAGGGGAAAAATTTACCAAATTAGACTCTAGGATGAAGGGTGAAGCATGGTTTTCCATATGGGGGGTTCTTTGTACGGTTAGAAGCATGGTTTTCCATACTGCCGCCAATTGCTTCTTCTAAAAGTAGTGTTTTTCCCTCTAAAATATCTAATGTATTTAAATCAGTTAGAGCATATCTCATTCTCCTTGGATGATATCCTTAATTTAGATTTATTCCTTCTAGATTTATTCCTTTCCTAATATACTCGTTGATGACCAATGCTTATATGTTATATGAATTGCTTCTACATGCTTATTTGAATTTCTCATCTCTTATAGATTATAGTGGATAAATTTTGAATTAAAATTAGTACGGAGGCAGTAGGTTCCGAGAAGAACCAGAGGGAGAGCAGGGGTTGTGAAAGACAGATAATGGTGGCGTCAACATGAAGGGTGGATTGATTTTTTTATTTCTCTCAACTTATTTATTAGTCCTTTATTATGAATATATAATCGTAATTCATGTGCAGATTGAATCAGTTTTCTAAATCATTTTTTATCTTTCCACATAGGCTGGAAAATTGTTATTCCTAATGTAGGTTTACACTCATGGATGCTCTCAAATAATCTAAGGTCAGATGGAGCTCAAGGGGTTGGTTTCCGGGTTTGTGTGTACGTATTGAATATGATGTGTTCTTGTGCTATTAGGTATTGTGGAGTAGTGAGCACCCTTCACGCCAGATAGAGGCTCATTAAAAAGCATAAAGCATGTGTTCTACTAGAAAATTTATGATTGTGACTTCTTCTAACATACTACGTAGTTTTTTAGTAATTTGATATACTTCGTTTGGAATTTGTTTTGTGATATAAATAGTTTTCGTCATGTGTCACAAATGAAGGATTTGCACTGTGCCCCATGGTATTGGACAGAAGAAATGAAGTGATCTTCTCACCATCTTAACATATCTTTCTTCCTTCATTTCTTTGTTGGGGAGAGATTATTACCAGAATCCTTTCTTATCTGGAATATAGAAGATCCTTATTGTTTCATTGTTAATAAGTTCATATGTATCAATGGGCTATGGTTGGGACTTGGGAGTTGATGAATTTTACGATTGTGACTTTTTGTGTGATGACATTGCAATGTGAGGGAGTACATTTGGCTTAAATATTGGGGGATAAATAAAGAGAACCTGATTTTACTTAACACTTTCTTAATAAAATTTGGAAAAAGAATTAAAGGACCATAGATATAAGCAATCAAGGATAGTTAATGTGTCAAAATTAACTTTTGAGCTACTTTTTTTTCTGATTCTTAGACAAATCAGACAACACTGATTTTTGAAATTTATTTTCATTTCAAACTATTGTTTTTTCCACTAAAAATGCCTCTTGAAATTAATTTCTCTCAAATAAACACACGCTGCAAGCTAAAGATTTTGTAAACATAGGCTGTAAGCCAAATTTTCTAAACAAGGAAGCTTTTTGTAGTCCTGCTTGTACTCTAAAAAGCACTCCATTGAAATAACTTGTCATTGAAATACTCCTTTAAAATAATGGATTTTAATTATTGTGTGGTTTTGTAAAAAATCATCTAGGTTGCTAAAAAAATACTCGTAGTTTGAATGGAATTTTCATGGGTGTGTATATACACACACTTGAAACTATATTTTATTGTACTTGAATTATTTTTTTTCTATTTAAATATCATGTATTAAAAATTGTACCTATAAACCTCCTTTTACGTGTATGTTTCATTTTTTGGATGTTTGCATAAAACACGGGAAAATTGAGCACGTGAAGTAAAAAATGGGATTCTTTTTGGGTCTTTGGGACTATCGGAAAGGGGCATTCCAAATAGAAAAAAAATTAAAATAGAAGATAATCAGATTAAGACATTCCGAGTGAGTGGGGAATGAAAAGAAATGGGATCCATGCAAAATATAAATTTGAATATTATTTAAAGTGTTGTTGTAACTTTATTATTTATACTCCAATTTTTAAAAAATATATATCAAAATTCATAACTTTTTATGATCTTTCATACGACTCTAATATTATTCATATAAAGTTTTTTAGAAAATTGAAGTTTAATTGCAAGAGGTTTTCAGATCCAAAAAAACATTAAAATTTATATATGCGATACATACATGTGTGATGTGAAAGCTCACAAAAAGTTATGAATTTTGAAACTTCATATATTTTTTGAAGAAATTGAAGTACACGTAAAACTGTTACAACACTTCAAAGAAAAATTAGATCTTTTTTGCTTGGCACCCACCATTTTCAAAATTGGGTTCATTCAGAATAGAGCTATTCAAATGGAATTTTGTTCTAAATTATTAGTCGGAATGAGGTCTTTTGAATACTGTAATTACTAGGGCTGGGCACAAAAACCCGTAACTATGTAACCGTTAAAAAATACCGTATAACCATTAATTTTGTGCTTAACCGCGTACCGCTTTTAAAACGAAATCACGGTACGGTTAACCAGTTAATAACTAAAAAATGTTTCGTGGTCGGTTAACCGTTACTAAATTAATTAGAATCGGTTTACCGAAGTAATCTAGAGCTCCATCTGTAATCCAGCTAGCCGCTCCACCAGGTCCAGAGCTCCCTCCTTAAAACGATGTTCCAGACTTCCAGTTTACTTTTTGGGTATTGTGCTGGCATGTGGCTGATGGTTTTAATAGCCTAATATTAAATTAGGAATCCTTTGTATCTTTGGAAACTTTTATTAGTATAAATATATCTGCTAGGTACCCTATTGGGTTTCCTTTCCCATTATTTCACATGGTATCAAGAGCCTAATTTTTCTCTCTCCAAAACCCTCGTTTGCGTCATGAGTTCTGAGCCGATGATTACTTCGGCCGCCGGCTCCTCCGCGTCCTCTTCTTCCTCCACCTTCACGGACGCCATCATCACAAACACCAGCGCCGCCATTCCCTTGACAGCGTCGCCGCAGGTGTCGTCTTCTCCAATTGGCCCGGTTCTACAACCTTCTTCTTCTCAAATCGGCATGGAGTCTTCAAGTCCCTACTCTTTATTTCAAAACATGCCCCCGGTATTCTCCTGGCAGCCAACTATCATGCCTAATATTCCAGGTGTGTTCTCCACTCCGCCGCCGGATGTCACGCCTCTGCCGCTCTCCAGTCCAAGTTATTTTGGTTCCACATTCTCCGGGGCTCCTGGACTGTCTAGGCCGCCAGACCAGTCCTTCTTTCAGTCACCGTTGGCAGCAGTAGCTCAATCAATTATGCCGGCCAACAATGTTACTCAAATTGTTACAATCAAGCTTAAAGCGGTAGAAGATTACATCACATGGCGCACCCAATTTGAAGCTTTCCTAGTCTCTCAAGGTGTGTTTGGTTTCTTGGATGGTTCCACAAAGGTACCTCCGATGTACACAGTTGATTTTAATAATCACCAAATAATTAATACTGATTATCATCACTGGTTAAGGGTTGATCAAACAATTCGTTCTTGGATTTTTGCTACTCTTACTCGTGATGTATTAATTGATGTCCATGAACTTAAGCACTCCTTTGAGATTTGGGAAAGATTGCAAAATCGTTTTCGTTCTGCTAGTCTGGCTAGGGCAATGACACTTAGACGTTTATTGTCTAATGTGAAAAAGAAGGAAAATCAGTCTATGGAAAATTATTTAAGAGAAATTCATGCGTTAGTAAGCGAATTAGCTACAATAAATTCTCCTGTGTCCGATAAAGAAATTCTGCAAACCACACTTATGGGGCTCGGACCAGAATATGAATCCACCATGGGCACTATTTCTCTTTTCCCCGATAATTTCCCGCCAGACATTCTTCACCGGAGCTTGTTAGAAGCCGAACAGAGGGTCCTATATCTTCGTCAGCAAAATACTCCACCTGCTTACCAAGCTTTCGGTGTCCAAGATCGAGAAAATGCCCCACGTGGCGGCCGTGGTGGCCGAGGCAGGGGTGGCCGTGGACGAAACGGCAGCGGCAGAGGCCGTGGTTACCACCAGTACGGCCAGCAACCACCTCTCGGCCACGGGCAGCAGCACTCAGCTCCGCAGCAGGGACCGCAACCGGGACAGCACCATCAGCAGGGGTTCGGACAGCAACAACTGAGACCTCCGAATGCAGGTGCCATGAGTAATTCTGTTTTGTCCACCTTAAATACTAATGCTATATTATATTGTGGTACTAATGTTACATCTGCAGGCTCTTCATCAACTGAGGGAATTCTTGGGGCAATTCCCCCACCCATTGTGTGTCGAATCTGTTTTTCTGCAGGCCATTCTGCAATCAACTGTCCCTCTCGTTTTTCTCCATCTACTGCACCTGTTCTTCTCACCGGTCAAGCTAATGAAGCTCTGTGGTATCCAGACACTGGTGCATCTGCTCATATGACTTCCTCTGAAGGTATTTTGACAAATAAATCTACATATTCTGGTCCAACTATTGTTAGTGTTGCTAATGGTGCTCAACTCCCTATAAAACATGTTGGTGATATTTCTTTAAATTCCTCTGGCCGCCAACTGCTATTGAAATCTGTTTATCATGTGCCTAATATTAAATTTAATTTAATTTCAATTCAAAAATTGTGTGCTGATAACAACTGTGTTGCTATTTTTGACAAAAATTCCTTTTTTGTTAAGGACAAAATTTCGGGGGAGGTTCTTCTTCGGGCAACAACTAATGGCCATCTCTATCCTCTCAGCCTGAGTCCACCATCTAGCCTAGCTTTATCGTCAGTCCTCACCACCGGCCCTGTGTGGCATCGTAGATTAGGTCATTGTGGTGATAATATTTTACGTATTTTAAGTGGTCAAAAACGCATATGTAATAGCTCTAGTTTTTCTCATGACTGTATTTCTTGCCGGTTAGGCAAGTCTCAACGATTACCTTTTTCAGATGCTATTCACACTTCTTCCTCTGTTTTACAATTAATTCATTCTGATGTGTGGCAATCTCCTGTTCTTTCTAATTTAGGATTTAAATATTATGTCTGCTTTATTGATGATTTTTCTCGTTTTACATGGATTTACCCATTACGTAATAAAAGCGAGGTTTTTGACTCTTTTAAAATTTTTAAATCTTTAGTTGAAAATCTTTTTAACTCTAGAATTAAAATTTTTCAAAGTGATGGAGGGGGTGAGTTTGTTAATTCTCATATGCAGCAATTTTTTGATACTCATGGAATTTATTTTCAAAAATCTTGCCCTCACACTCCTCAACAAAATGGGCTTGCTGAGCGTAAACATCGTCATCTACTTGAACTAACTAGAACTGTGCTTATTGAGGCATCTCTTCCTAGTCATTTTTGGGTTGATGCGTTGTTTACGGCTGTATATATTATTAACAGATTACCCACTCCAACATTGTCTGGTCACTCTCCTTATGAAAAACTTTTTCAAAAATCTCCTGATTATTCCCTTTTACGTGTGTTTGGTTGTGCGTGTTTTCCAAATATTTCTGCCAGTTCCTCCAATAAACTTTCTCCCCGATCCATTCAATGTGTTTTTCTAGGATATGCATCTGGTTATAAAGGTTATCGTTGTCTTGATCCTCAAACTGGAAAAGTATACATCAGTCGGCATGTGCGTTTTTGTGAAAATATTTTTCCGTACACCACTTTGACTTCTACTATGCATAACACGCCTTCTACCTCCCAAACTCCTCTTCCTATTTCCTCCTGGAGCCGATCAAACTCACTCCCAAAGGATCATCCCCGACCTGCTCTCTTACCTCTTCCTTGGAATCCTCGGCCCATCCCAAACCAGCCACCTCAGTCCCGCCATATGTCCTGTCCGACCACCCCAACCTCAACCCCCATTCCGGTCAGCTTCTCCAGTCCAGAACACCACGCTACACCGGACACAAGCCAGCTCGAGCTCTCCTCGGCTGAGTCCAGTCCACCGACCAGCCCTGTATCTGAACCCACTCCATCTCAGCCGAACAACCCACCTATCACCCCATCTACAAACCCACTGCCCAGCCCCGAACCCGAGCCCGACCAGCAGCCCCCTTCCCCGGTTAATGTCCACCCGATGCAAACTCGGGCGAAATTTGGAATTTTTAAACCAAAAACTATTTTTAATTTAAACACGGTTGTTCTTTCAGCAGATCCTACTTGTTTTTCTGAGGCAAATAAACACTTGATATGGCGTAAGGCTATGGCTGAGGAATTTAATGCACTTATTGCTAACAACACTTGGGATTTGGTACCTTTTGATAACTCTAAAAATATTGTTGGCTCTAAGTGGATTTATAAGACAAAATTTCTTTCAGATGGGTCTATTGAGCGCCACAAGGCACGGTTAGTTGCTCAGGGGTTTAATCAACAGGCTGGTGTAGATTTTTCTGAAACGTTTAGTCCTGTTATTAAACCCACCACTGTTCGTACTGTTATCACTTTAGCTATTTCATTCGGGTGGGTTATGCGTCAGCTTGATGTTAAAAATGCTTTTCTTCATGGTCATCTTACTGAAGAAGTTTATATGCGTCAGCCGCGGGGTTTTATTCATCCTCAGTATCCTCATCATTTATGTCGTCTGCGCAAGGCTATTTATGGTCTTAAGCAGGCCCCGCGGGCATGGTTTCATAGGTTTAGTAGTTTCCTACTTTCTCATAATTTTTTATGTAGTAAGTCGGATAACTCTCTATTTATTTACCGCCAGGGCACTTCGATTATTTATTTGTTACTATATGTGGATGACATTATTATTACTGGCAATTCATCATCTGTTGTCACTCAGTTCATTCATCTTATTGCTCACCATTTTTCCATGAAAGACTTGGGTGATCTTCATTATTTTCTTGGCATTCAGGCCATTCGTAATCCTAAAGGTTTGTTTCTCTCCCAGCAAAAATATGTCTCTGACCTTTTATCTCGCTTTCATTTACACACTGTCAAGTCAGTTCGCACTCCCCTTGCGTCTCGTACTTCCTTATCTCTCACTGATGGCGAGCTCCTTGCAGATGCGACTGAGTATCGCATTATGGTAGGTGCATTACAGTATTTAACTTTGACAAGACCTGACATTACTTATGCTGTGCATTTGGTTTCTCAATTTATGCATGCCCCACGTACCACTCATCTTTTTGCTGTCAAGAGGATTTTTCGATATTTGCAGGGTACCATCGATCATGGTCTATGGCTTCAGCCTACACCTAAGGCGACCTGCATTATGGCATATTCAGATGCAGATTGGGCCGGATGTCCCGATACCTCTCGATCCACCACCGGCTACGCAGTATTTCTTGGGTCAAATCTTGTATCTTGGAAATCAAAGAAGCAACCTACTGTTTCCAAATCCTCTACAGAAGCAGAGTATCGAGCCATTGCCTACACGGTGCAGGACACAATACACATTCGGTCCATTCTATTCGAGCTTGGTTTTCCAGTCACAGCACCGGTACGTTTGTTTTGTGACAACATCTCTGCTTCTTACTTGACGGCCAATCCTGTTCAGCATGCTCGGAGTAAGCATATCCAGATAGATTATCACTTTGTTCGTGAACGTGTGGCTCACGGTGATCTTGTTGTTAAATATGTTCCTACCAGTCTTCAGTTAGCAGATATATTTACTAAAAGTCTCTCTAGTCAGCAATTTCATTTTTTAAAAGACAACCTGCGCGTTGTATCTCCCGCACAGTTTGAGGGGGTGTAATAGCCTAATATTAAATTAGGAATCCTTTGTATCTTTGGAAACTTTTATTAGTATAAATATATCTGCTAGGTACCCTATTGGGTAACCTTTCCCATTATTTCACAGGTTTAAGGGTATGGATCAGCATCCACGGGTCGGTTGACCTAAACAAAACGAAGGAAAAGCCATTTTTATATGAACACTGAAATTTAGAATTCTGTTTTAACCTTTTTTTGGCTTACGAGTTGTTTTTTTATGGAACACTAAATTATGTTAAGGCTGATTTTTTGGGGAATTAAGATACGGAGTATACAAAATCCCTTTGTAGATAATATTTGGTACTCATAAAATATCATATTATGTGATGTTAAAGGATTGGATGTTTATTATGTTGAATACTTGAATGTTGGATTTGTTCTAAAATAGACTGTTGAATTTTATTATTCATGTTGTTGGATTTTATTATTGTTGATGAATGATTGATGATTAAAATTGTGTGTTAATTTTTTAGTGAGTTATTCTCTTTTATGGTTTATGGTTTGTGATTAACCGATACTCAGTTAACCGAAGTTTTGGTTAATCGATACTCGGTTAACCAAAGATTTGGTTAACCGAAGTAATATAATCGGTTTCTCGGTTAACCGCAAAATTGGTTAACCAAAATCCGGTTAACCAACCATGTCCACCCCTAGTAATTACGCATCATAAATCAAAGTCTCGTGTTTTGGGAAGGGTTGCATGAAAACCCGTAAATTGGTCATTTCCTCTTTTTTCTTATTTCATACACTTCAACCAAATTAAAGAGGAGTCATAAAGATTACATACCGGAATATGAATGGAATTAACATAGATTCCATCGACACAATACTAACTCTGGAACAATCAAAAGTCCTTTTGAAATAAATTTCATCAAGATAATACTAATATTACCAAAATAAGGAGTACTAGAATTCTATCATACATCTAAATAGCACCTCTCCATTGCTTATGTAGTTATGTTGCCTATATAAATGGAAGAGTCTGGAATTATAAACAGTCCCATTAAGACCACACTTTTTTGTAAACGGGGTTGAAAGTTTTTAATGACAGAAATTGGAATCAAGTTAAACAAAGTATAGGAGGATCAAGATGCAGAGGCGGTTTAATAAAGTGATACATGTTTATTGTGGTTGTCTCAAATAAACTTATACTCCCTCCGTCCCGGGAAGAAGTTCCCAATTTCCTTATTTGGATGTCCCAAAAGAAACTTCCCATTTCCCTAAATGGAAAGTTATCCTACATTAAAACAGTGCCAAACAGTGCTAAACAGTGCCAAACAGTGTCGAAACAGTGCCAAACAGTGCCGAAACAGTGCAAAACAGTAAAATTTACCCCTCAGTAACTTTATTTCCTAAAAATGTGTGAAAGTCAACCCGGGAACTTCTCCCCGGGACGGAGGGAGTAATTTTTTTTACTTCTTCTATTTCCATACTAGCATAAAAACCTTAGTGACACGTAGACTAGTCAATGGAGAAGGTTGACATCTTCCTGTGCTGCCTCATTCTTGTGAATGGATAGTTGCATGTGATGGTATCGAGAGTAACAAGTGCATTTAGGCAGAAATTTGTGGTATGTGACGAAGATGGACAATCAATCAAGTTTGCGTATACAATGAACTTTATAATAATTTATAGTTTCGTAGACTTACACGCACAAAAGAGCGTAGCTAGGAGGGCAAGCCCTGGTCCCAGCCCGACCTAAATTTAGGGGTGGACTCGGGTCAGGCTGCCCGGCCCGGAACCAGCCCGGTACTGTTTGGGCCCGGCCCGGCCCAGTACCCAGTCTTGGGGCTGGTTCGGGCCAACTGGAACCGCTCAACTCCCGGTTCGGGCTTGGGCCATGAAAATGTTGAACCGGCCCGGCCGGTTCGGGCCTAATTTGTTTTTTATTTGTTTTTTATTTGTTTTTTTTTTTTCATTTTTTTTTTGTTTCTACCGGGTAGGGTTGAGTGTTTTGGGGGGGTTTGGGGGGTGGGGGTGAAGGGGAGGGGGTCGGGGCCCGGGGGGTAATTTGGAAAAACAAAAGAATATAGAAAACATTGAACCGGAAACCGGCCCGGAACCGCCGGTCAACCGGGCCGGTTCAAAAGCCCGGCCGGGCCCAGGCCCGAACTGGAACCGGCCTAGGCCCATTCCTACCTAAATTTAAAAGTCTATATTTCTACTGTAAAAAATTTCGTCTAAGTTGTATCGGTTCAGTCCAGCTCAATTCACCAATATGATCCAACAGTATGATTTTATTTAATGTTCTGAGTAAATGAATCGCTATTGCTCATTAAGGTGTAAAAACATCCTAACTTACATCTACTCCACAATCAATTGAAAAAACCTGGCTAGATAAACATCTTAAATCTTAATAGGTGCCTTAATAGGAATAGCTAATACGTAATATATTACTCTGTACATCTTAATAATTAGTCAATATTTTTGCTACATGAATGACTCATCTTTTAATAGCAAAAAATATTAAGTCATCAGTCATGATTCTAATTGTCTGGATTAAGTCACAAGTAAACAAGTCTATTAAGTCACAAGTAAACAAGTCTTGCAGGATGTTTCAAACATAACTGATAGCCTCCACATGTGGAGATGTAAAGAGTGATGCACTGTGTCCTGGACTCGGGCCGGTTCGGGCCCGGTTCGGGCCTGGGCCCGGTTCGGGCCTGGGCCCGGCCGGGCCTCGGGCCAGGAAAGGGAGGCCCGAGCCCGAACCGCCGGTGGCCGGTTCCGGTCCCGGTTCCGGGCCAAACCGGGCCGGGCCGGGCCGGGCCGAACCGGCCCAATAATATTTTTTTTTTTTGTTCTATTTAATCCCCTACCCCTCCCCCTCCCCCTCAACCCCAAACCACCTCAAATGGCCCAAAATACCTAATCCAACCTAAAACTTAAAAAAATTTCAAAAAAAAAAAAAATTAAAATCCGGCCCGGACCGGGCCCGAACCGGCCGGGCCGGTTCACCAAAACCTGGGCCCGGGCCCGAACCGCCCAGCAGCCGGGCCGGGCCGAACCGAACCGAGGGACCCACCGGGCCCCGGCCCGGGCCGGGCCAAATAGTAACCGGGCCGGGCCGGTTCCGGGCCGGGCCGCCCGGCCCGAGTCCAGGACTAGATGCACATGATCTCATAGTCCCATTCGGACACTCCTGCTGTCCTACACTGCATCCTCGATTTGCGGTATAGCCAGAGGCGAAATAAATTGAAGGAGGTTTCAAACAATTTTTTACCCAATGATTCAAAAACAGCTAATCTTTATGTACGTTGAAAACAAGTCACAAACACCTGACACATGATAGATTTAGTGAAATAAATAAGTGAATTCTAAAAAACATTACATGATTAATATTCAAAGCTGCGTACAATTATATTCAGTCAAAAAATGTACATTGGTCAAATTTGACTTTTCTAAACCTGAGGCAAAAAAACCAAGACAATTGGAAGAATTCAAGACAGCTGAGATATAAAAAGCAATTTAAATTACAAACTTCATGTGAGGATAACTGCTAATGCTATAGCTTCTGAGGATGCAATATTATAAATTGACAACTCACAAATGAATAAAAGAACTGTCACTGGCAGCATCTTGAAACTGATGAAGCTGACGGATCATACATCTTTTAGGAACCTCACCATGTCATCTGTTAGATTAGAGCTGATGATGTTTCTTCTGGCTTATCCAAACAGTTCTGAATCCAGCTGTTGAATGTTTGGGAAAACTTGTCTCAAAGTAGTCACGTAGTTGGGAGAATTTGCCTGCAGAATAATATAAATACAAATATATACCATCACATGTTGCACAGAGCACTTAAGAGATCAATAGAAATATATTGAAAAAGTGAATCATGCTGCAAAAGATATGCTTATATGGCTAAATAATCTGATTTCTAATTGAAAGTCTGACACGCGAGAATAACATAGCGTGTTAAAAGATGCAAAGCTAACAAATTAAGTGCATCATGAAGGACATGCATGTTTGGGCCCTAAAAAACTAGGGAGAAGAGAGAAAATGCCAAGTCATTTTGTTATGTTTGAGTTTACCACAAACAATGCAAAAGAAAAACGAAATATGATAGATGTTTTTACTTTTTTTATCTGTTGGATTGCTTAGTATTTATATTATAACAATAAATATATGAGAGCGCCTTTCAACAAATCATTAAAATAAATTTATTGAAACTGAAAGAATGTATTAGCTTCCTCAACATTTTCCTCTCAAATTTCTTTTCCTAGAGTTTTTTTCACTCCAAACAGACCGTAACTGGCATGTCCATCTGCAAAGCACTAAAAGGGGCAGTATTACTGAACTCTGAAGCTAAATAATCCTACTTTGTGGAAGCCTGCGGAAGCTTTTAACCTAGGATTTCTTGTAGAGGTTTGAAGGATCTTCTCAAAAATCAAATTGTGGAAGCTTGTCTCTTGGGTTTGTGAGGGTTAGGTTCCTCTATGCGTTATAGAGTTTGACCTGACTCAGAAGATTAGTGGCAGCTATCTTCCCTTCCTAAGATCTGTAGCAGAAAACTAATTTGATATTAAACATTGGTCTAGGGTCTTGCATTGGTCGAACTGTATCGCTTGGTTGGTTCACATCAATAATGAAGTTTAAACTAGGATGAGTAGAAACAGTAATTATATCATACATCCCGATGTAAATCTACATCCGCGTATTTTTGTAATTTTCCTTTAACATTTGCTTATTTCGTAAATAGAGAATGCTCATCCCATCATAATTACACTCTGTAACTGTTTTCCCGATTATTTTTCATTTGATATAATATTCATTTGAATATAAAAGATGCCCATTTTGCATTTAAATAATAATCATTTTGTATGAGACAAATGCTCATTTCATCATTTGAATGTATCATGTGCACATAGTATTCAAATGTATAATATATGAATCGAGTAGAAACCGTTGTTAAGTAAAATACACATATACATACACATGGGTTGCGCTCGAGATAGAGTGTCGTCAGCTTCTGTCGTGAACCACTAACTGCATCAGCTATGCCTTCAAGAGATGATATGTTGTTGTCGTTCAGCCAGAGATCTTCTAAGCTGAAGTGAAAGAGAATACAAAAAGTATTAAATGAAATGATCTAAACATAACAAATGTGTACACATAGAGCACCGGGGAGTAAACAGTCATCATACCTAGTCAGGTTTTCAATACCAGTAATTGCAGTAAGCTTGTTTGCTGACACATCCAGGACTCGAAGGTTTACCAAGGTTGATAAGCCTTCCATTTTTTCAATACCATTATGGCTTAGGTATAGCTCTTCCAAAGCAACACATTCCTGCAAATCAAGAAAACGGATTAAGAAAGTGTATTTAGATAACGAGAACATCCTCCCACCATATTTTACATAACTGCTATTCTGCTAATGGATAAGTGGATAATACCTCCAATCCAGTTGTTGCTGTCAAACGGTTACTCTGGATGCTAATCTTCTTAATGCATTTTAAGCCACAAAGATTGATAGCTCGAATACGGTTGCGGCCAAGCCATAGCTCTTGTAGATTTATTAAAGTTTGCAGATTCTCCATTACCTAACCAACCAAAATGAGGGCTTAAAGTTTTTTTGTCTAGTTTTCCAGAGTAAAACATCCTGAACACAAAATCGATGCATATACATCTCCATGCAGGGATCGAAGTAACAGTTTACGGTCATTGACATGATTCATTCTAAAATAATAACAAGGTGTGAGAAACAAACCCGTAATCTGTTTGACCCAAGTTCAAGAATACTCAGCTCTTGAAAGTGTTCAATCTCTTCCATCTTTGTAACTTCATTATTAGAGACATAGAGTTCCTTCAATGTACTAGAGACCTTGGACAATCCACTAAGTGATAGGATTTCATTGTATGAAACGTCAAATACCAGAAGTTTCTTAAATATGCTAACATCTGGAAGTTTCTTAAGCTGATTATCCCTGATTACGAGTTCCTGAAAAAACAATTCAACTACATTACTTAAATTCAATACATAAGGCCATTACACAATGAAATTCAAGCTAATGAATGACAATCTGTGGTTCCATACAGTGTTTATCAATGGCAGATGGCGGATTATGGAGGATTGTCAAAATAGGGCCATTCTTCACAAATTGCAGATTTCCACCACCATCTGTGATGGCCCCCATTTGACAACACTGGTTACTTTAAAAAGAGTTGTGTGAATCTAATTAAAACTACAAAAGTGATAGGCATATGGTGCAAAGGCCTAGTCACTTCTTTAATAAAGTATATAAAAGGAGGCAAACGGGAGCGGGGGTCAATTAGTGAATTACTTTATTTCAGTTTGGTCCCTGCGTGGACTGAGTACTATAAATAGAATTGGGGAAGCACAAATAAGGCAGGCTGTTATTCAGATAATTATAGACTGGGAGATTGGACATCTCGAATGGTCCTAGGGCACTGTATCCATTTGTGATCTGTCTTATTGTCTGAATAAAAGTTCTCACCCTGTTCTCATATTTTTTTTATCATTTTCTGCATTTCTGTGAGATCTGGTGTTGCTAGGTACTATCATTGGTATCAGAGCATCACCGTTCCTGGTGACGGATCTTACTGGGCGATTTACACCATTTCACGATCAGTAGTGAATGGTCAAAACGAGAGCCAATATGGAGTCGCGATTGGATACTGTTGAGCGACGAATAAATGAGGTGCAATCTGAGCTGAAGAACGAGAATAGAATCATGAAGGACGAGCTGCGTTCAGCAATGGAGGCATTGGCCGCAGAGCTGTCTGCATCCATCAAAGCAATATCAGATCTGAACCGGATCAGAGCTCGATCGCGATCGCCACCTCAGCATCGTGTTCGCGCTTCTCGCAGCCCTACGATATCTGGAGATGACCCCACTCACGCTCTCATCCATCCTCATCGAGATCCTGAGAACCCTAACCGGTTTTCTATACAAACCGGTAGGAAGATCGACATACCAATTTTTACTGGAGATAGTGCGTACAACTGGATCGTAAGGATGGAGAGGTATTTCAGAGTAAATCATATTCAGGAAGAACGGGTTGAAGCCGCTGTGGTCGCAATGGAAGAACGGGCGATTAACTGGTTCATTTGGTGGGAGCATCAAGCGGAGAGAAGGAACTGGGAAACTCTGAAAACCGCTATTATCAGAAGGTTCCAACCTGACTTGATCCAAAACCCCTACGGTCCTATGCTAAGTCTTAAACAGACAGGAACAGTGCAGGAATTCCGAGACGAGTTTGAGATGGTGATAGCACCCCAGATTAATGTGGATACGAGAATCCTGAAAGGCATTTTTATCAATGGTTTGAAGGCAGAGGTTAAAGCTGAGTTGAAACTGCACAACACGACTACCTTAGCTGAAGTAATGGACTGGGCCCTATTGATTGAAGAGAGAAACGAGGCAATGTATCTTAGAGGAAAGGAGAAGGGAAAGGCCATTGCCCCGACACAGACCTGGGTGGACGGATTTAAATCTAAAATAGGAAACTCCTGGTCCAACAATAATGGGAAGGGAGCAACTGATGCTAAGAATAATCCTGCATGGGTAAACCCTACTGGGAAGAAGCTAACTGAAATCAACCCTTCTGCAAGTCGAAGGTTAGGGCCCCAGTTGTCACAAGAAGAGTATCAGGATAGAAGCCGAAGAGGGTTGTGTTTCAAGTGTGGGGAAAAATGGAACAAAGAGCACACATGCAAGCTGATGTTAGAAAACTCCAACTCTAGTCTTACAGATCACAGAATTGGTTCAAGAAATATCTCAAAGGCAACTTTTATTCTCAAAGGCAACAATGGCCGAAGGCCTAAGGCAACAGACTGCGTACAGTTTACAAAATCAAATTCAGCATCCTATTACAATCTCCAATACTACTATTTATAGTAGGATGTTCTAGCTACCGGTAGTTATTCGTATTATAACAAACTTACAATTAACCAACCCTCCTCCTCCTACAACTTCTAACACTATTCTATTTATAGCAGTAAGGCTAACCCCCGGTAGTAATTAGCTCATATCCGACTTGACTAATAGCAAAACCCATTTCTTTCTAGAATACACTTTATTGAAGTATTTATTTCTTATCTTTATATTAGTAAAGTCTCTATCAAATCTCCCCTCCTGAAAATCCAACTTGCCCTCAAGTTGGGAGGTGGAAATTGTTGTATGATGCTATGTTGTGTCTCCTCGGAATCTTCAAACTCCGAAAAATTCTTCCCATGTATTAAGATTTCCCTCTCCCCTGCTGAATTCATTCTGATATTCTTGACTTTCTCAGGCCACACCAGTACTTCACACTCTTCAATTAAACAATTAGGAAGGTCTTGGCATGAGTTGGCAGGTTTCAATTCCTTCTTCTGTTTCATCTTCATCCTGGTGCTTCTACCTTCCCAATATCTCACTGGTTTCTGAGCAAAGAGCTTTGCTACTTGATCTTTCCAATTCACAGGTGTTACTGCAACATCTATTGTCTCTGGTAAACTTTCATTCTCTTCAGTCTTCAGGTCTTCAATGGCTACAATTATTTTCATGCTTCCCTGAGGTGTAACACTTACAATGGTAGCAGAATTTGTGTTCTTGTCTTGAACATCAGGACTCTTATCCACTTTATTCTGCTCATCAGGAATTTTTGAAATACAAAGTTCTTCCACTCCAGTTGACTTTCCTCCCACTGAATTATGATTGACAACCATGATGCTTTTCAGTAAAACACTGCCACCTTCTGCCACACTTTGATTACTCCCCATATCCTTCCACCATGCAACTTCCATAGAAATTCCCCACCAAAAACTCTCTGCCACTGCACATTTCTCAAAAGGAGAATCTCTTTTCACCTTGTGCCTTGAAATAGATAGTGGAAATCCCCAGGTTATTTTTAAAATGGTACAATCTTTGCTACTATGAAGCAACACATAAACCAAGCAACATTTTTCGGCTGAGAATACAAAGTCAGCTCCTGCATCACCAAGTACATCATCCCTACTTCTTTGGTTCCATCCTTCCTTGTCAGATGAAGGAAGTTCATTTTTTCTAAAAACACTCCAATCTTTGCAGCTATTCTTCAAGCTGGATAAATCATGAGGCATAGGATCCAAATTGATGTAGCAGTATCCTTCAGATTTCCCCAAATGGATCAACCACTTTATCCTTCTAATCGCATCAGTTTCAAGAATTACCTCCTTCTATAATAGACCTTAGTAAAAAACTTATTTAATAAAGTCTCTATCAAATCTCCCCTCCTGAACATCCACCTTGCCCTCAAGGTGGGCGATAGGTAGCAGCCAAAAGCTCCTTTTTCTTTATCCCTTCTTGACAGTATTTCTTCATTCTTATCCTCAATCACTTGTGCCTTATCCATTATTTTCTCCAGATCTTTGGTCTTATAAAGCTTCAGTTCTGCTCTTATATCCTTCTTTAACCCATTCAGAAATATAGCTCTCATTACCTTTCTGTCCAGATTTTCTTGAGAAGCAATAGCTTTTTCAAATTGTTCTCTGTACTCTTGTACAGAATTTCTTTGCTTCAGACTCAGCAAGGGCCCCAATGGATTTTGAATGAGCTCAGGTTGAAATCGCCTAATCAGTGCTTTCTTGAATTTGTCCCAATTCCTTTCTCTGGCTTGTTTTTCCCACCATTGAATCCATCCCAGCGCTTTACCTTCCATGGAAACTACTGCCACTTCGATTTTTTTTTCCTCTTCTGCGTTATTGAGGCGAAAGTATCGTTCGATCCTCACAAGCCAGCCAAAAGCGTCTTCACCTTGGAATAGAGGTAAATCAACCTTCCTGTGCATCTGATGGTGTTGGCGAGGTTGATGATGTAGTCGAGTTGGTGAGTACTCCTCATGACTATCTGAGCTATCGGAACTGTCCATCGATCGCGTCGAGTGATGATGCGCTGAAGGTCGCGTTGAATGATGCGATGAAGGTCGCGATGATGGATGCGATTTGCGATGCGAAGAATGACGCGATGAAGTTGATGCGTGCGATCTACTCCTCGATCGACTTTTGTTCCTCGCGTCCAGCCTTGCTAGAATCGTAGCCAACAACTCCTTCGTTTCTTGACGGTCTTTCTCCAGTTCTTCTATTCTCGCTTCCATTTTTCCTCGCGTCCAAACCATTAACTAGATCAACTGGCTCTGATACCAATGTTAGAAAACTCCAACTCTAGTCTTACAGATCACAGAATTGGTTCAAGAAATATCTCAAAGGCAACTTTTATTCTCAAAGGCAACAATGGCCGAAGGCCTAAGGCAACAGACTGCGTACAGTTTACAAAATCAAATTCAGCATCCTATTACAATCTCCAATACTACTATTTATAGTAGGATGTTCTAGCTACCGGTAGTTATTCGTATTATAACAAACTTACAATTAACCAACCCTCCTCCTCCTACAACTTCTAACACTATTCTATTTATAGCAGTAAGGCTAACCCCCGGTAGTAATTAGCTCATATCCGACTTGACTAATAGCAAAACCCATTTCTTTCTAGAATACACTTTATTGAAGTATTTATTTCTTATCTTTATATTAGTAAAGTCTCTATCAAATCTCCCCTCCTGAAAATCCAACTTGCCCTCAAGTTGGGAGGTGGAAATTGTTGTATGATGCTATGTTGTGTCTCCTCGGAATCTTCAAACTCCGAAAAATTCTTCCCATGTATTAAGATTTCCCTCTCCCCTGCTGAATTCATTCTGATATTCTTGACTTTCTCAGGCCACACCAGTACTTCACACTCTTCAATTAAACAATTAGGAAGGTCTTGGCATGAGTTGGCAGGTTTCAATTCCTTCTTCTGTTTCATCTTCATCCTGGTGCTTCTACCTTCCCAATATCTCACTGGTTTCTGAGCAAAGAGCTTTGCTACTTGATCTTTCCAATTCACAGGTGTTACTGCAACATCTATTGTCTCTGGTAAACTTTCATTCTCTTCAGTCTTCAGGTCTTCAATGGCTACAATT